GTTAAAAGCTTGTAATTAATTTATATATCCAGTTTGGTATGGTATTCATTTTTTGAAATTTTTTTTGTTGGATCATTTTTTTTATATTTTCATTACACACACACACAAGCCTTTTTATTGGGGCATCCAGCCCTATACATGATTCCCCTCTACAGGATTTAGCAAAGGAAGATATTTCGAAAGTAAAAACTAGAATACAGGAAGTAATAAGGAAAAATAAAAGCGAGAAGAAAGAAAAAAAAATAAATAAATATAACCATATATACAAAAAATAAACATACAGAGCAATAGGAACCATACATGATTAAAAATTTAAATTAAAGTACCAATGTTTAAAATATGTCAAGGTTAGGATATCATTGAGAGGGCTAGTGTTGAATCAGCCGCATTCAATCTTCGTTTTCTTCCTCCAAGCAAACCACGACATTCGGCGCTTCCATTGTTCTCCAACGGACATTGACTGCGGCCTTGTAGAATTTATATAAACCGAGGGAGAGACCCTGATCAACCATCAGTGTGTTCATCCAGCTGCAAATTTGTTGGCAGTCAGGTTGAGACCAGCGTAAGTCACCCAAAATTTCTTTCCTCTGTTTCTCTAAGCAAGAGCATCCAAATATTATATGCATAATTTCGTCTTGGATTCTGTTTTTACACAGATCGCAAGTTAGAGTCAAATCAATTTTCCAGCGATTTGAACGATTTTCTGGGAAGATCGTCCAAAGGAGTCTCAGTTGTGCAAAAAATCTTTTAATTGCTAGAGGAATAGTTGTGAATAAATATCGTTCTGCTGTTATTGAATTTTTTTGGTATTTGAAGTGACTAATGTGAAGTATTTAGGATTTTCGCCATGTCGTTTTGGATGCTTTGTTCGGTTGCTATTCGAATAATACCAGGGATTTCAGTCATTATTGCAGCGTAATCCGGACAACCCTTCAGGAACGAAAAACCGTTTGAGTCTAAAATGGTTGACAGGTTTTCGACAAAGGTTAAACCAGCCCTTTGATTGCTGTGTAATGTCCAGAGGTGTGACAAACATGCCCGGGGCAACCTACTCTCTTCCATTTTCATAATCCTCACCCAAAATCTCAGGACCTGTTTAATAATGATAACTTCCTGTGATACTCGTCCACACTCCATTCTTAGCATAAAGCCCGGAGTATACTTTGGTAAATTTAGGTAGCGTCTTAAGAAAATATTCTGAACCTGATCAACTACCTTTACTTGGTTGAGTGCCCAGCAGGGTGCGGCGTATAGCATGTGAGGTAAGACCGTCGAATCAAGTAATCTCATTGCCGCATTTAGAGAGTTCATCTTGGATTTTGTCAGAACCTGCCACACAGCGCCATTTGCTGCCAGGGCTTTGCCCTTGTAGTGTGACGCTACCTTGTTTAGTGAATTTGCACTTGTAAGCGGATATCCCAAGTATAGATATTTCGTAGTAACAGACAGTTGCCTCTCACCCCAGAACCATTTGTCATTTTGTGCTAATTGACCGCCGTTTCTGAAAACTACAATTTTTGACTTATTTTCATTCAGGGTTAATAAATTTGTTTCAAAATATTTTCTTAGCATATTGATTTTTATTTGAAGGTTATTTTTGGATTCTCCAATCAAGACAATATCATCTGCGTATAGTAGAATATGAACATATCCATAATTTGGGAGATATATTCCCGGTAAATCTGAATTATTGTAGAGACCGATTAAATCATTTATAATATCAAATTGTTTTCTCTTTGCTTCATCTCGCAAAGATCTAGTCTTCTTTCAAAACTGTCTATCCTCTCCGAGTTAATACTCACTGCTTTAGCAGTTTTCTCAAGGGATGTCTCAATATGTTGGAAACGTTGATTTAATTCCCTCATCCCGCTTTCCAGCGAAGATAGTCGGGTTTCCAATCTCTGACCTAGATCGTCTATTTTAGTTGTTAAAGTTGCTATCATTTCAGCTAGATCTTTCTCTCTATAAGATTCCATTGTCATTTGTTTAGCTGACCTAGGGCCAGGATTTTGCTCTATTCCTGAAATTATCAATAGCATAAGAATAATAGGTCTTCGATTAGTTTTTGCAACAAAAGCAAGGTCTTTCATATCAGGAATTTTTGCCGGGAGAATTTACGTCTTAAAATTTGAATAACTAACAATGAAACTACTTTCTTTTGTCTTCATAACTATGCAAATTATGGCTACTAAAAACAAAAATTTCATTTTAAGCAGTTTTACCAGAACCTATCTGAAGTAATCCAACAAGTTAGAAATAAATTCCAAAATTAAATAGATAAGGAGTAATAAGAAGAGAAAGTATTTACTTATCTGAGAAATAATTGTGTGTAGCACGGAGACGATGTTGTTTGCGACTTGTCTCGTTGGCCACCTGGCGGAGAATCCTTATATTTTCATTAAAACAATTCCATTTCCTTTGTCATATTTTGTTTGTAGGTTCTTAAGTTTGGAAGTCAATTTTTATCAATACTATTCGATTTATAATTTTTCTCTTATACTAAATGATCCAACAAAAAAAAAAAAACTTTAAAAATAAATTTAATACCGTACTTAAAAACTGGAGAAAAAAACAAAAATATTAATTATAGGCTTTTAAACAAGTTGAAAAATTATGATGCACATGTTCCAAATAAATTAATGGTTAAAAGGTTCACAAGCCTAACTGTCCATTACGCCCAATAGTAAACATGGTTAGCACAACAATTGAATTAATTTAAATATTATTTTAAATAATAAAGATAAGAAAGAAGAAGAAATATTATTTTAATGAAAATGAAATTGTTAACACCTATGAATTCAAAGAAGATATTTTAGACATGAAGCTAAATGGAATCAAAGAATTATATCTTTAGATGTTGAATCCATGTTTACTTCAATACCCACAATTATGGATGCACCATGTGATAAAAAAAATGCCAAAATCAGAATTTTAAGTAGAATTTTGTTTGAAAACAACATACTTTATTTATGTTGAACAAATGAAATGTGCAACAATGTTTCACCAAATGTATTTCTATAGGTCAGTTAGAAATTGTGGCTCTGAATTCACTTAAAAATGATGTCTACTATTTTAGAAGATATGTGGATGACTTCAGAGAAGTGAGCAAAGAATATTCGATACCTTCAATGGTGTATACCTTCCGGAATTTGGTGATGTTCACCTGCTGATGTATGCAGATGATATTGCTATTATAGGAGAGTCGAGGGTAAACCTCCAAAAAAAAAAAAAAGATTAATATATTGAAAGAATATCTTGGTGTGAACTATATGACACTGAACGAGTCCAAATCGAAGGTTATGGTATTTCGCAATGGTGGTAAACCCTCAAGAGAAGATAGTTGGTACTGGAATGGTAAACCTCTGATGGTGACAAGAAGATATAATTACTTGGGATACCCTCTGGTCAGTACAACTAAAACCACTCAAGCCGCAAACTTTTTCAAAGGAAAAGCACTTGCAGCAATAAATGCTACAACCCCAATATTGGCAAAATCAAAAATTAATTCACTAAACTCTGCAATGAAACTGTTTGACTCAATTGTGATGGCTGTTTTGATGTATGCTGCTCCAATTTGGGCAACAGAGTATATTTATTAGACCATATACAAGATACATTTATTCGTAGGTTTTTGAATTTGCCTAGATATACACCAGGATACATAATAAGACCAGAAACAGGCAGCGTCTCATTAATAATAACAACTCTGACATTGACCTTGAAATATTGGCTGAGGGTGCTGAGTATGGATACAAATAGATTGCCTCGAATATGTTTAACTAGAATGAGGCAAGTATCCTGTGCTACAGGTGCGCCCATCGGTTTTATAAAACAATTAAGCAATTTACTTAATAATAACGGATCCTCGTGGCTTACTTATTGTAATGATCCTGATTCACTAAGGAATGCTATCCCTGGAATATTAAGAACTGCGATAGAGCAAACAATACAAAACGACCTAACAAGAATAACCCAATCAAAGTTATATTCCCACTATAGAGGCATATATACAACGTTTACCACCGAAGAATACTTCTTAACTGAACTCCCTTTTCCTATCATCAGATTAATTGCACAATTTAGAACCCTTTCAATTCTTTTCAGAGAACACCATTTGATTTTATTGAGGCGTGAAGACCTGAAATGCACTTTCTGTGGATCAGGAATAACAACTGAGATGTTGCATTACTTATTTGACTGTGCTGCTCTGTCTGAGGAAAGACGAAAACTAAATGATAAAACGGGGCAACTTTGTCCTTCATTTCCGGCACTGATTAATGAAATATCAAAGAATAGGTATATAGCGATGGCGATATTTGGATTCCACAAGACTATATCCCGGAAAAAGGCCTCACAGTGTTCTCCCTATCCCTTGTGAACTGGCGAATCCTGTATAGGGCGAGTGGCCCTTAATAAAGGCTTTTGTTGTTGTTGTTGTTGTAGATACCTTCAATGTTTCAATTACTCCATGGAAGTAGATAACAACAAATCCTGGACATGAACTTAACATTATTGCCACCTCTATATACTGACAGGAATGTATTGGAACTATAGTTCCATTTCAGTCCAAAATATATAGGAGTTTTGTACTCAACAACAACAAAAAGCCTTTATTAAGGGTCACTGACCCTATACAGGATTCACCAGAGGTATGCATAAGAACAAAGCAGTGAGACAAAGGAAACACCAATATAAACAGAAGAAAAAAAAAGAGAAAGAGGGAAGCAAGAAAAAACAACACAAAAAGAGTAGCAGTAAGAAAGTGAGGAGTGAGTGTCACTTGGCCTTCTTCTTAGATATGGACTTGTGGAAACCATAAAACGCCGTAGAAATATACTTATTCTGGGTCATATTGTCAATTATTGCTGGGAGTGAAGCACAGAGTTGCCAGTTTTGAGCATATGGGTTCTTCTTTCAGAGCAGAGCAATCAAAAATATAGTGAGTGATTTCATTTTTTAGTTTTGAATTACAGAAGGCACAAATCGGGTCCTCACCGCAGAGCATCTTGGTGTGGTTTTCTCCAAAAAAACTTGAAAGTATTCTAACTTGTGCAAGTAGTCTCACAACCGGGAAAGGAAAATCCCCTAAAAAGTATCCCTCCGTCATGAAAGATATGTGAAAGTCTTTGTAGTGAGAGTATAGCTTAGATTTATCCATTCTTGTATGGTCATTTTGTATAGATTGGTCTGCCGCTGTTTTTAAGAGCCCTGTAATCGCGCTCCTCAGCGTTTCAGGATCATCACAGGAAACAAGTGCAGGGGAGCCATTATTGTTAAGCAGATTGGTGAGCTTTTTAATGAAACCGATGGGTGTGCCTGAAGCATTAGACAGTTCCCGTGTTGTTTTAAAAAATACGTGACAATCTGTCACTACTCATATTTAACACACGCAGCCAATATTTCAGGGTTAATTTTAAAGCTGTTACACTCAATGAGATATGACCGGTTTCTAATCTGAATATGTAGCCTGGAGTGTATCTGGGCAGATTGAATATTGATAGATAGAATAATAGAAGACATCAATAAAAAATATCAAAATAATACTTTGTTTGATTCAGAGTGCAAAACCAGGAAACCAGATTTATAACATTGTCATATATAAACCAAAGGTTGCAAGAAATTTCACCAATATATTAAAAATATATAAAAATTGCATGGGAACTTGTAACACTGAGAACTTTGAGTGTTGTAGCGCAAGAGAATATCTATACTTTTATAATAACTTATTTCAACACCACATCAAACCTCTTTCTCAAGTTGCAGAGCCAATGTGGAGACACCAATTAATACAAGTGGCAATTTGGGCCTTTGTAGACAAATGTTGGTTGTACCTACACTCTATTGTTACCTTTGGTATTTTACTCACCCCAACTAGAAGACTGTTCAGTGAAACCAATTCTGTGGTTCCAGACTTCCATCAATGGTGGAGGATACATAAGTTTGCCAGGCCTGGACAACTGGCAGATTCCACCCAGATGTTGGAGCTAGAGCATCAGTCTGATGGCAAGTCTCTTTTTATTGCTCTCATTTCTAACCTTTTGTTATCACAATGTCATGTGTCTCTAACCATTTGTCTTCTTCTTTCTTATCTCATAACCATTTGTCTTCTTCTTTCTTATCTCATAACCATTTGTCTTCTTCTTTCTTATCTCATAACCATTTGTTATAATATCTAGTGGGAATTTATTAAGAGAGTCCCAATTTATAAACTGAAAGGTGTCTAGGGTAGAAAGGGGAAATTTTTTCCAGATTCTTATCTTTGTTGATAGCAATTCCAGACAGTCCAGTTTCAAGTTGGCTACTGTCAGTGTAAATTGTGATGTCGAAGAGGGAGCTATTTTCCTCAATGATTTGGAGGCCAAGAGCTTTAAGTAATTCTGGCTGAGTTTCATGTTTGTGGGGATTGGCTGGTAGATGAGGGAAACAGATGAGTTTGTTGAGAGTTCTGTGTGGGGGATAGGAAGTTCTGTGTTTGGGATTAATTGGGATGTCTAAGAGATTAGAGTTGTGAGCCATGTTGAGAGGAGTTGGGTGTTTTAGTCTTTGATTTGGGACCCAATTTCTAAAAATTTTCCTATAAGATGTTCTTCTGGAGAGTTTTTGGTTATGAATTTTGAAAAGCAGGTTTTTCTCCTTAGGTGCAGGGAAAGAAGGTTGTATTTGAGTTCAGCAATGCGATTTGGGCAAGATCCTTGAAGCCCCCTGATGATTTGAGCTGCGCTTGGATTCTGGATATATTGGTTTTACTTGCATTGATCCAGGCTGGTGTAGCATATTCCAAAATAGGTCTTACGAGTGCAAGGTACGTTGTGCGTAAGATATTGGCATTTGCACCCCAGTTAAGCTTGATATTTTATTCAGGATTGTGAATCGGCTTTGTTTTATCATGGTGTCACTATGTTTTTTAAAAGTCAGAGCAGGGTCAAGACACACCAAGATATCTTGGGGAACCGGAATATTGGATTATTGAGTTGTTCAATGAAATATTTGGGGTCCACTGGCGAAGGTGGTTGTTGATGGTGAAGAGGCCAATTTCAGATTTGCTGATGTTTATTAATAATTTCAGTTTCTCTGTTATCTTTTGCAGATTTTTCATGGCTTTATTCAGAGAGAGTTCTGCATCAGAGAGGTTGTTTTTGGAGACCCAGATGATTCTGTGTAAAGGGCAAATAAGATGATAATTGAAACTGCTGATAATTGGGATATATGATAATTGTGACACCAGATAATTAGGACTAATTATGTCTTCTTCTGTCACCCAATCATGATTATATTTGTGACGCCTGATAATTGTGACTCCTGATATTTGAGACTGCAGAAATGATCCCTAATAATGTGAAACATTCCTTTATACTGGATTCCAACAATCATTGCCAGGACCTGTTTGTTGCAGCACTACTATGGAGCCTTCACATGGAGCTCCTGCCAAGGAAACAAGACTGCTACCAAGGTTCCCTCCTACACCTTCACTTATCCCAGAGAGGGTTTTGAAGGTCAGATCCAACCTATGGTATATTAAATCAATAATTTCAGCAAGCAGCCAATAGAGTTCCTATGCAGTAGCTTCCTACTGAGTGATGATTTATGATGAGTGACAAGAAGCACTGTCAATATTCACACCGCCAGGCCACAGTCCTAATATGAAATTCAGCAACTTGCTACGCTGAGCCTTACACACCATTTTTAAACTTGGCTCATATTTTATTACATATGTACACCCCTCTTTTTTTTTTTTTTTCAGAACTTATTTGGCAAAAAAAATGATACTCACACAAGCACTCTATGGTATATTGCACCAATAATTGCATCAAGCAGCCAATAGAGTTCCTATGCAAAGATTTCCCAGGATTTAATCAACCCTGAATGCCATCAGGTGTTGTTCCACCATCTAATAACAATAGTCCATCATTGAGGTTGGGTTGGTTGGTCCTCTGGTAGGTCAAGCTCCTGGCTGACATGAGTGTATTGTGAGGATTATTACAAGTTCTCTTTCATTGGACGTCAGGAAGTTTCTCTGCTATGTCCACAAAAGGTAACTTGCCCCGTTGATCTAGCAGATGTCTTTGATTATTGGAGCTCTTTGACAGGCCCATACCACTAAAAGGATTCCCTAGATAAAACTTGTAGGAATGTATTTTAACTGTGCACACACATATTGTGAAAATATACAAGAATGGAACATAGCATTTGTCCAGAAAGTAGGTGGTGTTAGGGGGGGGTCTACATATTAGTAGAAAAACCAGGTAGCTCTCATTAAATCCAAAGGAGAAAGGACAGGGCATATTTTATCCATTATTTATAAGCCAATATAGAGCAGTAAAACTATCTTTGACCTATCAGAACATGTAAGAACTATAATATATATTACCTGTGCTATACACACCTTCTCATAGTAATATTTCAACCAAATTGTGGACAACCTCCAGGTGAGGCTGGGTTAGGCCTTTCATGGGTGGAGACTTGTGCATTGTATAGAAATCCATAAAGTAATGTTCACCTATTTCTTTGACACCTGAAGTGTTATTATGGAGACCTATCTGTAAGTTGTACATCTTTAATTCCTGTAAATAATTTCTTGAAATCTCTCTTTTCCAGAATCATACTTGCAATATATGTTCAATATTTAAATGATTTACCTTTCCATTTTGAAGCTATATAGGAATTTGCTTCATGTATAAGCAGCAACCTATGTAAGCACACCGTATATACACTCTGGTGGAATAGTTCACTAAGGGTGATGAACGCATACTTTTTGTCTAAAAAACTTGTTGGAGTAAGACCAAAGCGAGTGTGTATGTTGTGTGTGGCGGAGGTGAATCTGTCCCACGCCCAAGTTTTGACAGCCGCGCAAGGTGGTAGCAACTCAGGAGATCAGATTTCTCTACTCTTTTGGCGAGCACTTCGACGACATCGTTATTAACGATCCCACTGTGGCCTTTAATCCATCGTATGGAACACCTATTCATGTTGCGGTTCAGTTATGAAATCAGCCACAAACCCTGTTGACCAGGAGGTTGCCTGAGTTAAGAACGGATTTCAAAAATGAAAGGTTATCTAGGAGAACTTCAATATTAATATTTTCAGGAAGCTTTGAGGCATCCTCAAGTGCTTTAATCAAGCCTAGTGCCTCCGCTTGGAAGACAGAACAGTACAGGGACAGGACAAAACTCTCACGCAATTCATTCATGGAGCCATTCGCACACACTCAATATAGGCCTGTGCCAACTCCAGTTTTCGTCTTGGAACCATCTGTGTAGTAGGTGACGTCAGCCGAAAGATCAGGAATATTAATGGGAGCGGAGTAATAGGGAGGATAGGGAAGTGGGTGAGAGCAGGGAGGAGGCTCGACTGGAAATTCAGCGTCAACAAAACTGCTTTTTAAACTACAATTCCGCCTTGGCGCGACATCCAGATCGAGAGGGAGAACACGGGAAAGAGAGATGAGAGAGCTATTGTCAGTTGTTTCAAACGCGCGGCATGTCCTGATGAGGAACGGGCGCTGCGCGCTTAAGAGAGTGTTTAAGGATCGTTGTTTAAGATTAGAAAACCACACAGGAGAAGCGTAAGAAATGGCTGGAACCACAACCTGTAGATAAAGCATCCTCAGGGCACGGAATCCAAAGCTAAAGTTGGAGCTGGCAGCTGCTGTCAAACGCGGGAGAAAACCGCGGACTCTGGTGCAAACCTCTACCACATGCTGGTTGAAGGTGAGACGCTGATCAAACCTTACTCTCAGCACTTTGAGGCGCTCCATTGAATGGGTTGACCATTAATGGTCAGATTGCAGCTAGGCTTTAGTTGTCTGCCAGAAGGTCTTAGAAGGAGCATGGTCTGACACTTCATCACGCTAAGTTCCAGTTTATGCAGGCCACACCACCTCGTGATCTCGTTAATGGCAAGTTGCGCCGCTCCAAGTTGATTAGCAACTTGGCCCGCCACCACCACAACAAGATCGTTGGCGTAGGCCTGCGGGTGCACGCAATTTCTAAAGTTGAGCGTGAGGAGCTCGTCAAAGACAAGGTTCCAAAGAAACGGCCCAAGAACTGAGCCCTGTGGGCAGCCCTTGGAAACCTGTCTCGTGACCGTGCAACCATTCATTGACAGTCTGACAACACGATTATTGAGGAAGGAACAAATTAAAACAAACAAGTTCTTTGGACAGTCATTCATACATAGAGCTCGCAATATGCTGGAGTGTAGCACATTGTCAAAGGCACCTTTCACATCAAAGGAAAGAAGAATAGAAGATTTCTCGCCCTCCTCCCACGTGATCGTGCCGTGTTGACAACATGAGCAAGTTAGCGTCAAGGAAGTTTTCGACAATTTCTCTTTTGGAGCATTTGTATTTAAGCAACCACGCTTTATTTGACCATCTATAGGATTCAATATTAAAGTCGCCACAACCACAAAAAATTACCTCATGGAAATTAATTGTTTTTAACCGGTCGATTTCACCCAGTTCCCCACCTAGTCCTACACCAACTTCATATTGTAGGATCTGCCTAAAGCTTCGGGTTTCAGGACAGTGGTGTCGGGTGGAAGGGAAAGGGAGAAGCAGATCTCATAGTGGTCGGAAAGGTCGGTAGGGTATGAGGTCCACCCGGAGACGGAGGAGAGGATAGAGGAAGAGACGCTGGAGATGTCAATGGAGGAGGAGCTGGAGCCCTGGGAGCGGGTGATAGCTCCCCAGGTGTTACAGACCTTGAGGTCGAGGGCGTCGAGAAGGGTGTTAATAAGAGAGCCTTTAGAGTTTTGTTTTTGTGAGCTCCAGCGGGAGGAAACAGCGTTGACGTCTCCAGCGAAGAGAAGGCGGGGAGGGGGTGGGGAGCCAAAGAAGGAGATAAAGGAGTCGACGATGGGGGAGTAAGAAGTGTGGTGGGGGAAGTATACGGAGCAGAGAGTAAGGTGAAAGCCGGGGATGTCAAGGATTGCAAGGGTGCGGCTGGTGGCGGAGAGTCGTGGGAGGAAAATGACGGGAAGGCTTTGGTTAAGAACAATTATACAGGTGTTACACCGGTTGTTAGCAGCGGTTGTTAAATTTAGGTGAAGTTTTTTTTTTTTTTTTTTATGCATTATTTTTGATGTTTTAAAAAAAAAAGAATACAAACATTGAAAAGTGCATTTATTTACAATAAAGAATACAAACATTGAAAAGTACATTTATTTACAATAAAGAATACAAACATTGAAAAGTACATTTATTTACAATAAAGAATACAAACAATGAAAAGTAAATTTATTTACAACAATGATTTACAACATGATGGTGAAAGATAAACAGTACACAGAAGGATTGACAAGTCATTCACTTCACACAGGACAAATACAGCATTCACACAAGACAAGTGTATGATTTTTAAATTCGGATTTGCTATTATTACAGCTGCTCCCAATTTATTTTCGATTATTGGACCGTGACAAACCCTGTCAAGGGGCACAGGTAGTGATGGTAAATTGTTTTTGGAAACTGGGAGTTCTTGCAACAAAAGCACATCCGATTTTTCCTCGCGACATTCATTCAACAAGGAGTACAAACATTATGGAGAGCGTCTTACATTGGCTTGAACACACTTAAGAACGTTCATCGCACCAACAATTTATTGAAATTACCCTGTGCCTCCCGCATGTGTTTGCACGCCATGGAGTTGGCACTGTGTTTGTCGCCACACCTGTGACATTTCAATGCTGTTTTATTTTCACAGGTTTCGGAAAGATGTGCACCAGCGCAGTGGCTACATTTAGCCGCCCTAGTGCACTTCTTTCCGTTGGTGTGGGTCCTGTGACTTAAACTGCCACAGACACCACATGGGAAGACGCGCTTTGCTCTAGCGAGAGGAAGGCAGTCTCAACTTCCTTGTTTACTTCCACTATCGCGGTGGAGGGGGCACCCTCTTTCCTAATTAGTTTCACCATCCTGATGTCTTTGCCACTTTTCAGCAGCTTTTCGACAGCGGGATGGTTACTAATATCAGCCACAAGCTGCTCCTCAGTTTTCTCTCCAGGAATACCGAAGATAGCAAGCCACATTCTTTAAACAGGGAGTTTGGGTGATTTTTGCCCTGATTTCACTAACAGACAGCTCCGCATGATTAATGCTGTTACGCAGCATATGCACGTAACTTGGTCGTGTAGGTTTGGTTGGCTTAACACCAACATTGGGTGGTGGTGCAGGTTTGGCATTTTTAGCAGAGGCTGCGTATTGCGCCCTAATCTCAGCAATTTTAAGATCGCAACCCTTCAACCCAGTTCCCCACCTAGACCTACACCAATTTCATATTGTAGGATCTGCCTAAAGCTTTGGGTTTCGGGACAGGAGAGGGTGGTGTTGTCAATTAGAAGATGGGGAGGTTTGCAGAAAATGGGTAGAACTGATGAGCTGAATTTCTGACGCTATCGTCCCGAAATCCATGAGCCCCTTTCATTCTCAGGGAGTTCACGAAAATAATACATCCTGCTATATAAAAGGTATAATTTACATGTGTCCTGCGCGCACTGGGGTTAAAAAAAAAAAGAATGACAGGCAACTATATGTTTGGATTAAGATGACAATATATTTATTTATTTCTTAGAACAGTCATACAAAGATAAGAATAAAATAAATGAAACGGGCAATGAGGATTGAGTGGGAGAATTTACAAGAATATACTTATTAAAAAAAATCATTATTGGAAGATACTTAACTTTAGTGCTTCAGCTGGATGGCTTGGAAATCCCTCCCCTAAAATCTTGTAGAACTACATTTTTTGTGATTTTTTACGAGCTTTTCTATCCTATCTTATCTCTAAGACCGACTCTCACTAAAGCTTGCTCGTGACTAACTTTTTCTCCCCAGGGTGACCGAAAAAAAAAAGAATTAATAATAAATCTTTATCTGGTCACCCTCTGTGATAAAAAAAAGAAATTTTTAAAAATAAAAATAAAAAAATTATAATAAAAATTATCATTCGGAATATTAATTTTAAAATATAAAAAAAAAAAAAAGAAAACCCAAATAGCTGCTTATTTAAAAGAAAAATGAAATTTATTATAATTTATATACAAAAATTGGAGATAAAAAGGAGGTGAAGAGATGGGCTGGTTTGACAAAGAAGAATGCTCGAAGTCCGCTTCTTTCTTGTCGAGGCAGCTTCTTCATTGTCCACCAGCTTTCCATTGATACTGTGGGTGAACTTTATGGAGGCCCCAGAAGTGGCCTCTACAGAACCAGGGAACTCCAGGGAGGAGACGGCATTGACATCTCCAGCGAACAGAAGGCGAGGAGGAGGTGGTGCGCCGAAGAGAGTGAGGAAGGAGTCTACTATGGGGGAATAAGAAGCTTTGTGTGGGAAGTAAACAGAGCAGATAGTGAGATGGAAGCCTGGGATGTCGAGAATGGCGAGGGTACGGTTGGTGGTAGAAAGGCGAGGGAGGAAGACCACAGGCAGGCTCTGGTTAAGAACCATGATGCAGGTGCTGCACTTGTTCTGTGTGATGGGAGCGTGAAGGAAAGAGGCGGAGGGGATTGGGAAGGGAGAGGCGAGAAGGCCTTTACGGACCGGCAGTTCTTGAAGCAGGAGGATATCTATGTGAGAGGACTACGCGGTTTCGAGAATAGAGAGGAAGCAGGGGAGGGAACGGTTGCAATTTAGCTGCAGGAACCTAATCATGGGATTCCATGCGTTGTGAGGAAGGCAGACTCTGCCGCCTTAATGATCGGGCAGGCAAGGGAATCCGCCCGGTGTTGGTTGTTGCTGCTGCACCGGAAGCATCTAGGGGGAGAGGAGATTGCTGCGCAGTCGTTGATGGTGTGGCCCTCCCCACAGTGCAAACACTTGGCCCGTTTGGGGCAGTCGTTGTGTTGGCGTAGGTTGCCACAGGAGCGGCAAGGGTGCGTTGTTCTTGTTCGCTCGAACCTGATAGAGCTAAAACCAATGAAGAGGCGAGAACGCGACTGGAGGTCCCTGGCTGTAGCGGTGTCAGTCTATGATGGCGTGTTTGTTGTTGTTGCGCGCAGCCATTGTACGGACTAGCCTACAGCCGGCGCCCACGGATTGGTTGAGTAGTGTGGGAAGGTCGTTTATTGGGAGAGTCGGGAATGTTAAAGAGGGTATAGCGTGGTTTGAATGTAGGGGACAGGTGCACCTTGATGTTTGTTCCCCTAGTGGCCTTTATCAGTTTTGTATAGATGTTTGTCATGTTGTTTTTAGTGTTTGTATGTATGGTTAGTTTGTTGCGTGTGCGGTGTATGTTGGTGATTGGTGTGGTGGGCGTGGTAAGGGAGGAGATGAAAATTTTTGTGTATAGTTTGGTGTCGATGGGGGTGTTGATGGAGGGGTCTTGGGTGATTAATATATGGAAGGGGTTGTTGTGGTTGGAGGGGGGTGTGGGGCGGTGGGATGGGAAGTGTGTGGTGTGGCGGGAGGAGGGGATGGGGGGAGAGGGAGTAGCAGAAGGGGGAAGGGAGGCGGCTCTGGCAAAAGAGTCAGGAGAGGATTTGGGGAGGAGGGGGTGGGCAGGGGTTGAGGGATAGGGGGAGATAGAGGAAGAGGGTTAGGAGGGGAAGGATGAGGAGTTTTAGGAGGAGGAATGGGGGGGGTTAGGGTGGTAGTGGAAGGTTCAGTGGGGTGGTGTGAGGGTGGTTGTGTAAGTTTGTATGTGAGGATGTTGTTGGTGTGGTTGGCCTCTATGAGGCGCTGGTTGTATGTCTGTGTGAGGTGTGTGAATGTTATGTCGAGGGTGGTTCTGAATTGGTCGGCGATTGAAGGGGTGAGACCATGTGAGAAAGGAGGTGGGAGTTGTTGTTGATGGGGAACAGATTGCATAACAATGGGGGGGAGTCAATGGTATAGTCGGAATTGCGAAGGTGGTGTGGCTTGTAGGGAGTGTGGGTGGTGGTGACTGGGGGATGAGGAGGGGTAGGTTCACTCACCCCTGGTTGACCGTTGAGAGGGCCGCCGATTGTGCGGTCCAGGTGGCTGTCGAAGATGCTGGGGCGCAGTTCATCCCTGGAGGAATCCGCACGAAGGGAGACACCGTTGATTTTGGCCGTATCTGACCTATGACGTCAAAATGACGTCGCGATGTAAACAAAGGTTACGACTGGCTCATTTTTTTTTTTTTTTTCAAATTCGATTTAATTAATGATATTCTAAATACCTGCGACTAATTTATAGTTTCAATATATATATATATATTTTTTCTATATGACCTGCTAATTTTAAATAGATTTTTTTTTAAAATATTTAGCGCAATTGTAAACACGTGTATGTTGTGAATGCACCTTGAGAGCAATGGTGTCCGATATTTAAAATTATTATAAAATTAATTATTAATTTAAATAAATTTCGTTATTAATTTAGGTTAGTTTAAGTTCGGTTTAGGTTAGGTTAGGTTAAGGTTCGTTCAGGTTAGGTTAGGTCAGGTTCGCTTAGGTTAGGTTCGCTTAGGTTAGGTTAGTTTAAGTTAGCTTTAGGTTAGGTTAGGTTCAGGTTCGTTCAGGTTAGGTTAGGTTAGGTTCAGGTTTTTATTATTTTTATATTTTTTTGTATATTCCTATTTATAAATATAAAGTGGAGGTGCAGTCTTGGGGAGAGTTGGTGGAGTCCTCCCTGGAAGAAGAGATGTCTGGGGGGGGGTGTAGTATCCAGGAGGGGTGTGGGAGAAGGGGTTCTAGTAGGGGTAGGTCCTCGGCGGGTGGGGGAATGGTGGACTGGTGCGCTGGGGCGGACAGGTGAGTTGCTGGGCCCGCGGCGGTGTGTGGTGTTGCTGTCGCCTGGAGAGGGGAGCTGGGAGTTCAGCGCGGCGGACGGAGGGACCGCGCTCGTCCGTGTCGAAGTGTCAAATGGCCGATTGCGGCCGCCCTGGAGAGCCCGCATTTTCATTGGCTGCGGGCAGAAAAAAATCCGGGAAGGATAAATGGCGTATTGCGGCCGTCCAAGAGATCCGGGGAATAAAAATAATTTTTATCCTCTTCTGGTTTTTGGTGGATTGGGGCTGGGCGCTGGGGAACAGGAGCACAGTAGCACAGGAGACCGGAAGCACTATAGAAAATTCCTATTTAGCCTCCTTGAATATGCTGACACCACCAAAAAGAGTGGATGCCCTTACTTCAGGCAGTATCCCTGTGCCTTACCACGGGTGGGGGGTCACTAAGGACTGGCAAGAAGCGATCCTAATTCAAGGGAAGCTTTTGACTCCAAGAGTATCCAGAATCCTTACCACTGGTGGGGGGAATATCTGGACTCGTTGAAGTTACAGCATCATATTGGTGCCATTTTATAAGGCGCCCCGAAGTCTAAACCTGGGTAGCTGAGAGCCAATCAAAATGGAGAGTTGATGGCGACCGCTTTGGAACGAATTGCTGACATTGGGCACTTTTATCTTTTTCAAAATTATTTTATTTTTTATTTTTTACCCTGTGTTTTTTGGCTTTTAATGTGTGAAAACAATATAACCACAAGCTTCTCTTCAGTTTTCTCAGCAGGAATCCCGAATATAGCAAGCCTCTGCTTGAATGTAGGATTCGTCTGGACTTTAAGTCTACCAATGTTGGCGGACTTAATGTTGTCCACAAACCTCTTTTTCTCAGAGGGGTTGGCGAAGTAGTGGACAAGTTTTTTTATCCCCCCTGTCACCGCGGCTACATCACAGTTCTTCAAACTAGGAGTCTGGGCGATTTTTTTGCCCTGATCTCGCTAACAGTGAGGTCCGCGGAAGCGAGCTTCGCGTGGTTGGTGCTGTTACGCAGCATATGCGTGTAACTGGGTTTAGTTGGTTTGACAGGCTTAGCACCTGCGCTGGTTGGCTGAGTGACTTTTGTCACCACTGGGGTTGGTTTGGGAGGTCTGGGAGCGACGGTTGGTTTTTTAGAGGCTGATAGTTCAGCTTTGATTTCTGCGACTTTAAGGTCACAGCACTTCAGCTTATGCTGAAGGATGCTTACAACAGTGTTTTGGAGCTGGTAGAGCAGACCATCTATTTTCAAGTAGAGATTTTTATTCTCTGTGGAACCTAGATACCCGCTGAGCCTTAGCCCTACCTCATGTTGCAGGATTTGGCGGCAACCCTTAAAGGACGTGTCGATTTCACCCAGTTCCCCACCTAGTCCTATACCAACTTCATATTGTAGGATCTGCCTAAAGCTTCGGGTTTCCTGACAGTGGTGTCGGGTGGAAGGGAAAGGGAGAAGCAGATCTCATAGTGGTCGGAAAGGTCGGTAGGGTATGAGGTCCACCCGGAGACGGAGGAGAGGATAGAGGAAGAGACGCTGGAGATGTCAATGGAGGAGGAGCTGGAGCCCTGGGAGCGGGTGATAGCTCCCCAGGTGTTACAGACCTTGAGGTCGAGGGCGTCGAGAAGGGTGTTAATAAGAGAGCCTTTAGAGTTTTGTTTTTGTGAGCTCCAGCGGGAGGAAACAGCGTTGACGTCTCCAGCGAAGAGAAGGCGGGGAGGAGGTGGGGAGCCAAAGAGGGAGATAAAGGAGTCGACGATGGGGGAGTAAGAAGTGTGGTGGGGGAAGTATACGGAGCAGAGAGTAAGGTGAAAGCCGGGGATGTCAAGGATTGCAAGGGTGCGGCTGGTGGCGGAGAGTCGTGGGAGGAAAATGACGGGAAGGCTTTGGTTAAGAACAATTATACAGGTGTTACACCGGTTGTTAGAGATAGGAGCATGGAGGAGGAGGGGGTGGGAAATGGGGAGGGAAGGGCATTGTCAAGGACCGGGAGTTCTTGAAGGAGAAGGATATCTATATGGGAGGACCGGGCAAATTGTAGTAAGGAGAGGTAGCAAGGGAGGGATCGGTTACAGTTAAGCTGTAAGAACTTAAGCATTTAGGGCAGGTTGTGGGTGCTAAGGAATGTGGTTTCAGCGCCCTTGATGACCGGGCAGGAGAGAGAGTCCGCCCGGTGTTGGCCATTGCCGTTGCAGCGGAAACATTTAGGGGGGAGGGTGGTGGCGGTGCAGTTGTTGGTGATGTGGCCTTCGCCGCAATGGAGGCATCTGGGGGGCTTATTGCAAATTTCATTGCGGTGGCGGATGTCACCGCAGTTACGGCAGGGGTGAGTTGATCTGGTTCTGTCGAACCTGATTGAGTTATATCCCAAAAAGAGACGGGTTCGAGATTGCAGTTGGGTGGCAGTGTCGGAGTCGGTTTCGATGACCGCGTGTGTGGAGTTGTTGCAGCCGGTAAAAGTTCTAATGAGTTTGCAGTCAGTGCCTATTGATTGGGTGAGAAGGGAGGGCAGGTCGCTGAGTGGGATAGTGTTGGGGAGGTTGAAGAGGGTAAAGCGGGGTTTAAAGGTGGGGGGGAGGTTGACGCTGATGTTTGTGCCGTTGGTGGCATTTTTGAGCTTGGCGTAGATAGAGTCCATGCTATTTTTGGAGTTAGTGTGTAAGATGATCTTGTTACGGGCGCAGAAGATGTTAAGTGATTTGGGTGGAGGGAGTATTGAGGGAGGAGAGAAGGAAATTTTTGAGTTGAGGTTGTTGTCGATGGGGGTGCAAGCAGAGGGGTCCTGGGTGATGAGGATGTGGAAGGGGTTGGAATGGGGAGGGGGGCGGCGGGGAGGGTTGGGGGTTGAGTGTCGTGGGGGGGTGGTTGGTGGGGTGGGGGGTTAGCGGGAGGCGGTCGGGAGGCGACCCCGGCGAACGAGTTAGGGATGGGCATGAGTGGAGTGGAATGGGGTGAGGAGCTGGGTACAGGGGTGGGGGAGGAGGAAGATGGGGAGGCGGGTGAAAGCTGGGGGGAGGAGGAACGTTTGGTGAGGAGGGGGGGTGGAGGAGGCAGGGGGAGGCATAGGTGGGCAAGGAGAGGATGCAAGCAAATTTTGTTTAAGGAGATGAGTGAGGACGTTTGTGGCGCTGTTGGCCTCGAGGAGGCGTTGCTGATATGTGTTGGAGATGTGTGTGAAAGTTTTTTTGAGGTCATTGCGGAAACAATCGGCAAGGGTAGGGTCAAAAGAGTCAGCATAAGGGGCAAGGATGTTGTAGGCCCAGGTTAGATGTAGGAGGTGTGAGGGGTTGTTGGTGGGGAAAAGATTACATGTGGGTGGAGGTGAGTCGGGGGTGTAGTGTTGTTGTGGTGGTTGGCGTAGGTGAGGTGGCGTGTGAACATATGTAGATGAGGTAGGGTGAAGAGGGGTTGTTCGTGTTCGTTAAAAAAAAAAAAAGGTGATCGATTGAAAGGAAAAACAATGGGGGAAATAAATGCACATTCACACAGTATAACAAAAGGTTTTATTTAAAAATTAAAACAAAGGGCTAAAAACTATTATACTTATATATAAAGAATTATGCATAAAAAACAAGAAAAAAAAAGTCAAGCAAAAAAAGTAAAATTAGCTAATCTTAGGGAAGGGAGATAAAAATAAGTGGCAGGGGCGAGTGTCGAGCGTTGTGTTTGTACAGTACCTCGGGTGGCAGCACCGTCGCTGGCTTGGCTTGGGTTCCACTTGTCGCGGCTCGTTCGATGTCCAAGGCGTCCTTTCCGCTCTCAAGTTGCCGCGTGAGGGATACTCCAAGGTGTCCTTTCCGTCCACGAGACTCTGCTTGTGGGATATTTCTTAGACTTCTTTCTGTCCACAAGACGCTGCTTGTAGGATATTTCTTAGACGTCTTTCCGTCCACAAGTCGCTGCTTGTAGGATATTTCTCTGGCGCGTCTGCTCCGCCTGGCAAGCGAACTCAACTCTCCCCCTGGTCCGCTGCTTCTAACAAAAGATGATGCAACATGACGCGCCGTCCCGGGGCTCGCAGAACAACCAATCACATTGCAGGCGTCCACGTGACTGCCTCCCCGGGCATCTGCCGACCTTTGCCCTGATCGGCCCCAGCTGGGACTTTCCCCGACCATGTAGATGTCTTGACCATTTCATTCATCTTTTCCCCTCGTCTCCCTTCACCTAAGTCCTTCATTCTATGTACAAAAGTAATGATCGGTAAAATAGTTTTTACAGGGGTGGAGGACAATTTGACAATTAAAACAGACTTTATTGACGATCTAGTCAATAATTACACTCAATCAAGAGTTAATGTGAAAATTTACAGATTAGGGGGGGGGGAGCATTTCGCTGAGTATGCGTAGGCCCTCACGCACAAAGGGATCTGAGTTCCGAGCGCATTCAGATGCAGCGCTGATGATCTCGGCAAGAGTGGTTCTCTTCTGAGTGGAGAGGCGCCTGAGGAGAGGTTCCCTATCCACGGGGAAAATAATCGCCTCCACGATGTCACCCTCTGTGACTCCTATGTTGGATAAGGGCTCCGAGAAGCACTCACGGCTCAACGCATATATAATATCGCCTGCCTGGTCGTAGCAGGCATCTATGAATTGGGTAGACAGAGGAGGTGGAGGTGTCGCGATGTCCGGCGACGTCCTTTCCCCGTGGAGAGCGGGTGGTGTTGGCTCGGCAGGCCGAGTCGCAGGCAGTGGGGGTGTTGGAGGCACTGCGGCTGGTGAGGTTTTCTGCTCCGCCTTGACCTGATGTAGAACTTTGGAATTGCCTCCGGGCCTCAGGTCAAGGAGTTGGTTAATTACACCGGCGAGAGCATTGCTCTGCGGGGGTGTCAGGAGGGGTCCGCGCTTATAGGCCCTGGTCTTCGAGGAGAGGAGGTCTAAGACTTTAAAATCTGTATTCAAAAGTGATTCCTCCATTTTAATTTGTTTTATTTTTTGGATAGCTCTTCTGAACCGTCTTTTGCTGTTAAAGAAATAAGTTGCAGACTGACCAACTTTTCTTCCTTTGAAAATATCCCAATCCTTGAAAACTAAATGGTCTTCTTTAGTAGACCTATATTTTCTCTCGTCTATCCATTTAATTTGGAAAAGGTTTTGCCCGAGCCATTTGAGATCTTCTCCATAGGTTTCAAGGTTTAGGTGTTTTTTTCAAGAAATGGTATAAAAATGGTTTCTTGGTCTGCTTCACGGACATGTACAAAAGTAATGATCGGTAAAATAGTTTTAACAGGGGTGGAGGACAATTTGACAATTAAAACAGACTTTATTGACGATCTAGTCAATAATTACACTCAATCAAGAGTTAATGTGAAAATTTACAGATTAGGGGGGGGGGGGGGAGCATTTCGCTGAGTATGCGTAGGCCCTCACGCACAAAGGGATCTGAGTTCCGAGCGCATTCAGATGCAGCGCTGATGATCTCGGCAAGAGTGGTTCTCTTCTGAGTGGAGAGGCGCCTGAGGAGAGGTTCCCTATCCACGGGGAAAATAATCGCCTCCACGATGTCACCCTCTGTGACTCCTATGTTGGATAAGGGCTCCGAGAAGCACTCACGGCTCAACACATATATAATATCGCCTGCCTGGTCGTAGCAGGCATCTATGAATTGGGTAGACAGAGGAGGTGGAGGTGTCGCGATGTCCGGCGACGTCCTTTCCCCGTGGAGAGCGGGTGGTGTTGGCTCGGCAGGCCGAGTCGCAGGCAGTGGGGGTGTTGGAGGCACTGCGGCTGGTGAGGTTTTCTGCTCCGCCTTGACCTGATGTAGAACTTTGGAATTGCCTCCGGGCCTCAGGTCAAGGAGTTGGTTAATTACACCGGCGAGAGCATTGCTCTGCGGGGGGTGTCAGGAGGGGTCCGCGCTTATAGGCCCTGGTCTTCGAGGAGAGGAGGTCTAAGACTTTAAAATCTGTATTCAAAAGTGATTCCTCCATTTTAATTTGTTTTATTTTTTGGATAGCTCTTCTGAACCGTCTTTTGCTGTTAAAGAAATAAGTTGCAGACTGACCAACTTTTCTTCCTTTGAAAATATCCCAATCCTTGAAAACTAAATGGTCTTCTTTAGTAGACCTATATTTTCTCTCGTCTATCCATTTAATTTGGAAAAGGTTTTGCCCGAGCCATTTGAGATCTTCTCCATAGGTTTCAAGGTTAGGTGTTTTTTAAAGAAATGGTATAAAAATGGTTTCTTGGTCTGCTTCACGGACATGTACAAAAGTAATGATCGGTAAAATAGTTTTAACAGGTCACTGAACGCCTTTTGGCAAGCTTCATCCCAGATCCACACGACATCCTTTTTGAGGAGGTTATTGAGTGGTGCTCGCAAGCGAGCGTAGTCCGGGATGAATTTGTTATAGACGTTCACAGCGCCTAAAAAGGATTGTAGTGTTTTTCGGTTGTGTGGTTGTTTAATGGTGTGAATGATGTCTGTGTTGCGTGTGAGCGGTGTGGTTGTACCAGCTGTGACGGTGTAGCCTAGGAAATCTATGGACTGCTTAAAAAATTTGCATTTCGCGAAGTTAAGTTGTAACTCCTCTGCTTCGCAAAAGGCGAAAAATTGTCGCAGGTGGTTTTGATGTTCCTCCAATGTGTTGGAGTAAATGATGAAATCATCAAAGTAATGTGCCACACAGTCAAGTCCGTGTCTCTGTAGGACCTGACTAATGCTCGTTCGTAGATCTAAGGGCTGGTTTTTAATCCGAAAGGTAATCGAGTGGGTTGGTATAACCCTTCGAGGGTGGCAAATGCTAACAGTGGTCAAGAATCGGGGTGTATTGGGACCTGCCAATATGCAGAGGAGATATGTCGGCCGTGGAGAAATACTTGGCCTGTGCGAGGCGGTCGAGGATATCCTCGATTCTCGGGAGGGGATGGACATCAGAGCTAATTAGCTCGTTCACCTTTCTATAATCGATACAAAACCGTTTGGTCTTGTCGCGCTTAGTGACGAGGGTGACAGGGCTCGAGAAAGGTGAAAAGGATTGCTCTATAATGCCATTCTCCAGCATTTGTTGGACTTGATTACGGATTTCTTGTTGGTCACATATCGGGACACGATATGGCCGTATGGTAATTATTTTGTCGGAATTCGTGGGTATTTTTACGGGTGGAATCCGTAAGCATGGTATGTTGAATTTGTTCTGTGTGAAGATGTGATTGTATCTTTGTAAAAGTGTTGTGAACTGGGGTGTATAGAGAGGATTGTGTGTCGTGTTGTAGCATGTATGTGGTAAAGGATTTTGTTGGGTCTTAGTGTGAGTGTCGAGTTCGTGGTGTGGGTTTGTCATGTGATATTTGTGTGACGACGTATGATCACCTATGTGCTTGGTATGCGAGTTGTCCCGCTGTAGGGGTATGTTTTGGGCATTCTGGTTACCAATTGAAGCCGTGGTGGCATTGTTATTTGAGGGCATGTAAAAAAGGCAATTGGCCTTAGTGAAAAAATGGCATGTAGATAAGGGTTTTTTTTTTCAATGAATGCACGCAATGGTTGTCATAGGCGGAAGGTTTGGCTGTATGGTAAGATCTTTGTGACATCGCCTGACATTGCCAGTAGGTGCATACATTTGGTACATGGTTAAAATGGTAGGATGGGGTAGACAATGGGGCGCCCAGCTGGAATATAGTGCATTTATTAAAATCTATTGCTAATTTGAATTTGTGGAGGCTATTAAGGCTAAGAATTCCAAATGGTAACGGTGCATTCACTACATGGAAATTCTCTCTTCGGGATATTTGTCCTATGGTTAGAGGGAGAGACAGTTTACCCATTGTTTTTGCAAAACCATCCAGGGTTTGGAGATCCAGTGAATGTCTCTTAAGGGTTAACTTAGGCAGGTGAGTTTTTAACATATGGTAGAGGTTATATGGCACTATATTCAGGCTGGCGCCTGTATCAATTAAAAAGGGGCATGGTATATTAGGGGCTAGTAAAAGTTTTACAGTCAGTTGGGTTAGGGAGCCTACCTCAGTCTCGAAAAGTCTGCTCTGCTGGGGTGTCTCTGGCTTGACTTGGTTGCTGGGGACTCGGGACTGGTTGCTTTGGGACTGATTGCACTGTCCTGGCACTTTGATATCGGTTGCTCGGGACTGATTGCACTGTCCGGTCTTTTTCGTGGGTCGCGGGACTGGTCGATGCCGGCATTCGCTGTGCCAGTGTCTCGCGCCGCAGAACTTACAGTTGGACGGTGGAAGAGGTGCATTCCAGGCACCTGGGCGTCGAGGTGTGTTGTGGTACGGACCCGACATCGTGGGCGGTTGGTCCTCTCTGTGTCGCGTTGTCGGTACACTGGGCCCGTGGATCCGCTGTACCAGTCGGAACCACTCTCCTAGGTTCTCGGGAGGCACTACGCGGACTAGACGCTGGTCGGAGAATGGCAACCCTTCTGTCAGCGTCTCGAGGATCACCTCCTGCGGGAGTCCTAGTTGTAGCCCCATGGCGGTTTTCTCCCGGTAGTAGGTCTCTAGGTTGGCTTGTCCAGTAAGCTTCATGGCGAAATATTTCGCAAAGGACGCTTCGCTCGACTCAGGATAGAGATCTAAGAGGATTTGTCTCACCTGGAAATAGCTCCGGTCGGCCAGCCGAAGTTTCCTGAAAAGCTCCAGGGGTTGTCGCACCAGGTAGTTTGGTAGACGGAGCAGTTTTTCTTTTTCTTCTATGGCGGCGTCTTCCATTTTCCGGTCGAATACTTGGAAAAACTGGATCGCGCTGTATGTTCCATTGAAAGGCGAGATTGTCGGTCCTGTAGGGTCGCATGACCTACCCTGGGACAGCGCGGCGGTGAACTGCTGAATGACATCCGCTAGAGGGCCCGTCTCCTCTCTGCCGGTCATTTCCTGTCTGCTGCCTTCTTCCCTTTCTTTCGTTGGGTCGTCCTTCTTTACGCCGATTGAATCTTGGTTAATCTCCATCTCTTTATCCTGTCGACTTAATCCGTCTGTCGCAATATCGTTGCGGAATTTCTTGTTGTTGGATGAGAATGGTGTAGATTGTTGGAAGCGCAGTCGTTTGAGTGGAAAGTGAAGCATACAGTGGGGAATAACCAGGACACGTGATGGGGTTTTGGAAATAAAAGGCAACTGGTCGGAGGAAAGAAAGGCTTTGGAGAAGATGGAGCGGATTGTCTATTAACTATCTAATCACATGGCGGTGATTGACTTAGCTGAAAAGGATGAACGGGGGAGGTCTCTAGAGCAGGTGTTACCTCGGGGGGAGCGAAGCGACAACTGACAATTCTTGGTTCTCGATTTAACACGAGAACCCTTCTTACTTCCCATTGGTGGAAAGGTGTGACGTGGCGGTTCCCTATTGGTCTACGTTACTTCTTTATCCTAAAACATGTCCCAGCTTGACCAGGAAGTAATAGTTTGTTGAACTCAACTTTTTATTAGTTCCGCGATAATAAAACGGGGTATAACTTTCCTAATGATGGTGCTAACTTCTAAGCTTCTTTTCTAGGCCTTTCTTCTAAGTCTTTCTATCCTCCAATGTTATCTTTGTTCTTTTATTGAAACAAATCATACATTTTATACATATTGGATTGACTATTGGCATCTATGTATGTACAAATTATGACATATATATTGCTAAAAGTATAAATAACATGTACATAAAAAAAAACAAAGCTTAATTCTGAGTCCTAATATTTTTTTCATAAAAAAAGCATCCAAATAGTGTATAAATACGGCATTTCTGCAGCCCCCCCGACAAAAGTTCACTAAAAGAGTTAAATATTCTAAAAAAAAATTTGGTATATATATTGCTAAATGTGTAAAAAATATGTATATAAAAAAGCAAAGCTTAATTCTAAATTTTAATATTTTTTTTATAAGAAAAGCTGCAGAAAAACAAATAGGGATAATGGGAGTTATTTTGCCATTTTCAAAAATTAATTGTGAAAGAATAAATAAATGAGTAAATAGGGACAAATATTAAATAGCAAATTATATATAAAGAATGTCTTTTTTCAATAAATTAATTCGATGTATGTATATAGCAAGGGCAGTCTGTACTGAAAGCATTATGTTGTGTGTTCAATTTAAGTGTAGGATTTTTACTATTAGCTTTTTTACAGTTTATACAATTTTCTGTTTTTGTACATGAATTAGAAATGTGGCCCTTGCTACCACATTTCGCACAAGTGTTTTCTGATTCTTTACAGTTTTTATATTTATGAAAATCAAGACATTTAGTGCATCTATTAACAAGAAAAATTTCCGTCCATTTCATTACTCTCCATCCAAATCTAAATCTGTATAAATTATTTTCAATTGTTGATCTATTTTTCAATTGTGAAAATGTGTTTGAATCAATATTTATAAGCCAATCATTTGTTAAATTTGTTTTTATATACACTAAACGGTTTTAATTCAGCATTAGGTAAATTTAAACTTTCTTTGAAATAATCTATTATATGTTCTTTGCCAAAATCTTCTTCAACATTTAATATTTTAATTGTAGGAGACCTACCTTTGGGAACTTTTGGAATTAGCTTGGACCTAAGATGTTCATTTTCATTTATGAAATTTACTATTGTGTTTACATTTTCTAATGTGGGAACTTCTATTGTGCATCCCTTTTTGTTGGGAATAGCATTGGCTCTAACTATTTTTAGATTAGACAAAGAAATATTTTCCTTAAGGAATTGCACTATATTGGTATTTTCAGGGAGTTTTGATTCAATTAATATTTTCCCTATTAGATTAGGGGAACTTTTTGGCTGGGCTATGGAAGTTGGTGCAATTGGTATGTTAGAAGCCAAAGCTGCACTATAACTTTTCTCACTTTTTTCCATTAATATTTTCAATTTTTCATTGATTAGAGCATTATTTTCACTTATTAAATCTTGAGTAGATTTTTTAAATCATCAATTTTTTCCTCAAAATTTTTTTGAATATTTTCAATAATATTTTCTTGATTCTTTAATAAATCGTCCAATTTAGTATTAAAAGCCATATTTTCTACATTTTCTGGTTAAACTTTTATAAATTCATTCATATCTGTTTGAATTAAATTTAAATTCTTTTTTTGAGCATCCATTTTCGGATTTTTGGCATTTAAGAATGTGGAAATATTTCCCATAAGTGTTTCCAGCATAGGAAACATTTTTTTACCTAAAGAATTTATCTCCATTTTTAAATTAAAAAGTATACCAAACCTAAACCAAACCTAATGGTGTTGTAGCCCAGGGGTGTGTGGACCTGGTTCAGTCAAACCTAATGGTGTTGTAGCCCAGGGGTGTGTGGATCTGGTTCTGTCAAACCTAATGGTGTTGTAGCCCAGGGGTGTGTGGACCTGGTTCTTTCAAACCTAATGGTGTTGTAGCCCAGGGGTGTGTGGATCTGGTTCTGTCAAACCTAATGGTGTTGTAGCCCAGGGGTGTGTGGATCTGGTTCTGTCAAACCTAATGGTGTTGTAGCCCAGGGGTGTGTGGATCTGGTTCTGTCAAACCTAATGGTGTTGTAGCCCAGGGGTGTGTGGATCTGGTTCTGTCAAACCTAATGGTGTTGTAGCCCAGGGGTGTGTGGACCTGGTTCTTTCAAACCTAATGGTGTTGTAGCCCAGGGGTGTGTGGACCTGGTTCTGTCGAACCTAATGGTGTTGTAGCCCTGGGGTGTGTGGACCTGGTTCTTTCAAACCTAATGGTGTTGTAGCCAAGGGGTGTGTGGACCTGGTTCTATCGAACCTAATGGTGTTGTAGCCCAGGGGTGTGTGGACCTGGTTCTGTCGAACCTAATGGTGTTGTAGCCCAGGGGTGTGTGGACCTGGTTCTTTCAAACCTAATGGTGTTGTAGCCCAGGGGTGTGTGGACCTGGTTCAGTCAAACCTAATGGTGTTGTAGCCCAGGGGTGTGTGGATCTGGTTCTGTCAAACCTAATGGTGTTGTAGCCCAGGGGTGTGTGGACCTGGTTCTTTCAAACCTAATGGTGTTGTAGCCCAGGGGTGTGTGGATCTGGTTCTGTCAAACCTAATGGTGTTGTAGCCCAGGGGTGTGTGGATCTGGTTCTGTCAAACCTAATGGTGTTGTAGCCCAGGGGTGTGTGGATCTGGTTCTGTCAAACCTAATGGTGTTGTAGCCCAGGGGTGTGTGGATCTGGTTCTGTCAAACCTAATGGTGTTGTAGCCCAGGGGTGTGTGGACCTGGTTCTTTCAAACCTAATGGTGTTGTAGCCCAGGGGTGTGTGGACCTGGTTCTGTCGAACCTAATGGTGTTGTAGCCCTGGGGTGTGTGGACCTGGTTCTTTCAAACCTAATGGTGTTGTAGCCAAGGGGTGTGTGGACCTGGTTCTATCGAACCTAATGGTGTTGTAGCCCAGGGGTGTGTGGACCTGGTTCTGTCGAACCTAATGGTGTTGTAGCCCAGGGGTGTGTGGATCTGGTTCTGTCGAACCTAATGGTGTTGTAGCCCAGGGGTGTGTGGACCTGGTTCTGTCGAACCTAATGGTGTTGTAGCCCAGGGGTGTGTGGACCTGGTTCTTTCAAACCTAATGGTGTTGTAGCCAAGGGGTGTGTGGACCTGGTTCTGTCGAACCTAATGGTGTTGTAGCCCTGGGGTGTGTGGACCTGGTTCTGTCGAACCTAATGGTGTTGTAGCCCTGGGGTGTGTGGACCTGGTTCTTTCAAACCTAATGGTGTTGTAGCCAAGGGGTGTGTGGACCTGGTTCTGTCGAACCTAATGGTGTTGTAGCCCAGGGGTGTGTGGACCTGGTTCTGTCGAACCTAATGGTGTTGTAGCCCTGGGGTGTGTGGACCTGGTTCTTTCAAACCTAATGGTGTTGTAGCCAAGGGGTGTGTGGACCTGGTTCTATCGAACCTAATGGTGTTGTAGCCCAGGGGTGTGTGGACCTGGTTCTGTCGAACCTAATGGTGTTGTAGCCCAGGGGTGTGTGGATCTGGTTCTGTCGAACCTAATGGTGTTGTAGCCCAGGGGTGTGTGGACCTGGTTCTGTCGAACCTAATGGTGTTGTAGCCCAGGGGTGTGTGGACCTGGTTCTTTCAAACCTAATGGTGTTGTAGCCAAGGGGTGTGTGGACCTGGTTCTGTCGAACCTAATGGTGTTGTAGCCCTGGGGTGTGTGGACCTGGTTCTGTCGAACCTAATGGTGTTGTAGCCCTGGGGTGTGTGGACCTGGTTCTTTCAAACCTAATGGTGTTGTAGCCAAGGGTGTGTGGACCTGGTTCTGTCGAACCTAATGGTGTTGTAGCCCAGGGGTGTGTGGACCTGGTTCTGTCGAACCTAATGGTGTTGTAGCCCTGGGGTGTGTGGACCTGGTTCTTTCAAACCTAATGGTGTTGTAGCCCAGGGGTGTGTGGACCTGGTTCTGTCGAACCTAATGGTGTTGTAGCCAAGGGGTGTGTGGACCTGGTTCTGTCGAACCTAATGGTGTTGTAGCCCAGGTGTGTGTGGACCTGGTTCTGTCAAACCTAATGGTGTTGTAGCCAAGGGGTGTGTGGACCTGGTTCTTTCAAACCTAATGGTGTTGTAGCCAAGGGGTGTGTGGACCTGGTTCTATCGAACCTAATGGTGTTGTAGCCCAGGGGTGTGTGGACCTGGTTCTGTCGAACCTAATGGTGTTGTAGCCCAGGGGTGTGTGGATCTGGTTCTGTCGAACCTAATGGTGTTGTAGCCCAGGGGTGTGTGGACCTGGTTCTGTCGAACCTAATGGTGTTGTAGCCCAGGGGTGTGTGGACCTGGTTCTTTCAAACCTAATGGTGTTGTAGCCAAGGGGTGTGTGGACCTGGTTCTGTCGAACCTAATGGTGTTGTAGCCCTGGGGTGTGTGGACCTGGTTCTGTCGAACCTAATGGTGTTGTAGCCCTGGGGTGTGTGGACCTGGTTCTTTCAAACCTAATGGTGTTGTAGCCCAGGGGTGTGTGGACCTGGTTCTGTCGAACCTAATGGTGTTGTAGCCCTGGGGTGTGTGGACCTGGTTCTTTCAAACCTAATGGTGTTGTAGCCAAGGGGTGTGTGGACCTGGTTCTATCGAACCTAATGGTGTTGTAGCCCAGGGGTGTGTGGACCTGGTTCTGTCGAACCTAATGGTGTTGTAGCCCAGGGGTGTGTGGATCTGGTTCTGTCGAACCTAATGGTGTTGTAGCCCAGGGGTGTGTGGACCTGGTTCTGTCGAACCTAATGGTGTTGTAGCCCAGGGGTGTGTGGACCTGGTTCTTTCAAACCTAATGGTGTTGTAGCCAAGGGGTGTGTGGACCTGGTTCTGTCGAACCTAATGGTGTTGTAGCCCTGGGGTGTGTGGACCTGGTTCTGTCGAACCTAATGGTGTTGTAGCCCTGGGGTGTGTGGACCTGGTTCTTTCAAACCTAATGGTGTTGTAGCCAAGGGGTGTGTGGACCTGGTTCTGTCGAACCTAATGGTGTTGTAGCCCAGGGGTGTGTGGACCTGGTTCTGTCGAACCTAATGGTGTTGTAGCCCTGGGGTGTGTGGACCTGGTTCTTTCAAACCTAATGGTGTTGTAGCCAAGGGGTGTGTGGACCTGGTTCTATCGAACCTAATGGTGTTGTAGCCCAGGGGTGTGTGGACCTGGTTCTGTCGAACCTAATGGTGTTGTAGCCCAGGGGTGTGTGGATCTGGTTCTGTCGAACCTAATGGTGTTGTAGCCCAGGGGTGTGTGGACCTGGTTCTGTCGAACCTAATGGTGTTGTAGCCCAGGGGTGTGTGGACCTGGTTCTTTCAAACCTAATGGTGTTGTAGCCAAGGGGTGTGTGGACCTGGTTCTGTCGAACCTAATGGTGTTGTAGCCCTGGGGTGTGTGGACCTGGTTCTTTCAAACCTAATGGTGTTGTAGCCAAGGGGTGTGTGGACCTGGTTCTGTCGAACCTAATGGTGTTGTAGCCCAGGGGTGTGTGGACCTGGTTCTGTCGAACCTAATGGTGTTGTAGCCTGGGGTGTGTGGACCTGGTTCTTTCAAACCTAATGGTGTTGTAGCCCAGGGGTGTGTGGACCTGGTTCTGTCGAACCTAATGGTGTTGTAGCCAAGGGGTGTGTGGACCTGGTTCTGTCGAACCTAATGGTGTTGTAGCCCAGGTGTGTGTGGACCTGGTTCTGTCAAACCTAATGGTGTTGTAGCCAAGGGGTGTGTGGACCTGGTTCTTTCAAACCTAATGGTGTTGTAGCCCAGGGGTGTGTGGACCTGGTTCTTTCAAACCTAATGGTGTTGTAGCCCCAGGGGTGTGTGGACCTGGTTCTTTCAAACCTAATGGTGTTGTAGCCAGGGGTGTGTGGACCTGGTTCTATCGAACCAAATGGTGTTGTAGCCCAGGGGTGTGTGGACCTGGTTCTTTCAAACCTAATGGTGTTGTAGCCAAGGGGTGTGTGGACCTGGTTCTGTCGAACCTAATGGTGTTGTAGCCCTGGGGTGTGTGGACCTGGTTCTGTCGAACCTAATGGTGTTGTAGCCCTGGGGTGTGTGGACCTGGTTCTTTCAAACCTAATGGTGTTGTAGCCAAGGGGTGTGTGGACCTGGTTCTATCGAACCTAATGGTGTTGTAGCCCAGGGGTGTGTGGACCTGGTTCTGTCGAACCTAATGGTGTTGTAGCCCAGGGGTGTGTGGATCTGGTTCTGTCGAACCTAATGGTGTTGTAGCCCTGGGGTGTGTGGACCTGGTTCTGTCGAACCTAATGGTGTTGTAGCCCTGGGGTGTGTGGACCTGGTTCTTTCAAACCTAATGGTGTTGTAGCCCAGGGGTGTGTGGACCTGGTTCTGTCGAACCTAATGGTGTTGTAGCCAAGGGGTGTGTGGACCTGGTTCTGTCGAACCTAATGGTGTTGTAGCCCAGGTGTGTGTGGACCTGGTTCTGTCAAACCTAATGGTGTTGTAGCCAAGGGGTGTGTGGACCTGGTTCTTTCAAACCTAATGGTGTTGTAGCCCAGGGGTGTGTGGACCTGGTTCTTTCAAACCTAATGGTGTTGTAGCCCAGGGGTGTGTGGACCTGGTTCTTTCAAACCTAATGGTGTTGTAGCCCAGGGGTGTGTGGACCTGGTTCTATCGAACCAAATGGTGTTGTAGCCCAGGGGTGTGTGGACCTGGTTCTTTCAAACCTAATGGTGTTGTAGCCAAGGGGTGTGTGGACCTGGTTCTGTCGAACCTAATGGTGTTGTAGCCCTGGGGTGTGTGGACCTGGTTCTGTCGAACCTAATGGTGTTGTAGCCCTGGGGTGTGTGGACCTGGTTCTTTCAAACCTAATGGTGTTGTAGCCAAGGGGTGTGTGGACCTGGTTCTGTCGAACCTAATGGTGTTGTAGCCCAGGGGTGTGTGGACCTGGTTCTGTCGAACCTAATGGTGTTGTAGCCCTGGGGTGTGTGGACCTGGTTCTTTCAAACCTAATGGTGTTGTAGCCAAGGGGTGTGTGGACCTGGTTCTGTCGAACCTAATGGTGTTGTAGCCCTGGGGTGTGTGGACCTGGTTCTTTCAAACCTAATGGTGTTGTAGCCAAGGGGTGTGTGGACCTGGTTCTGTCGAACCTAATGGTGTTGTAGCCCAGGTGTGTGTGGACCTGGTTCTGTCAAACCTAATGGTGTTGTAGCCAAGGGGTGTGTGGACCTGGTTCTTTCAAACCTAATGGTGTTGTAGCCCAGGGGTGTGTGGACCTGGTTCTTTCAAACCTAATGGTGTTGTAGCCCTGGGGTGTGTTGACCTGGTTCTGTCAAACCTAATGGTGTTGTAGCCCAGGGGTGTGTGGACCTGGTTCTTTCAAACCTAATGGTGTTGTAGCCCAGGGGTGTGTGGACCTGGTTCTATCGAACCAAATGGTGTTGTAGCCCAGGGGTGTGTGGATCTGGTTCTTTCAAACCCAATGGTGTTTTAGCCCAGGGGTGTGTGGACCTGGTTCTATCGAACCAAATGGTGTTGTAGCCCAGGGGTGTGTGGACCTGGTTCTTTCGAACCCAATGGTGTTGTAGCCCAGGGGTGTGTGGATCTGGTTCTTTCAAACCCAATGGTGTTTTAGCCCAGGGGTGTGTGGACCTGGTTCTGTCGAACCCAATGGTGTTGTAGCCCAGGGGTGTGTGGATCTGGTTCTGTCAAACCTAATGGTGTTGTAGCCCAGGGGTGTGTGGATCTGGTTCTGTCGAACCTAATGGTGTTTTAGCCCAGGGGTGTGTGGATCTGGTTCTGTCGAACCTAATGGTGTTGTAGCCCAGGGGTGTGTGGATCTGGTTCTGTCAAACCTAATGGTGTTGTAGCCAAGGGGTGTGTGGACCTGGTTCTGTCGAACCTAATGGTGTTGTAGCCCAGGTGTGTGTGGATCTGCTTCTGTCAAACCTAATGGTGTTGTAGCCCTGGGGTGTGTGGATCTGGTTCTTTCAAACCCAATGGTGTTTTAGCCCAGGGGTGTGTGGACCTGGTTCTGTCGAACCCAATGGTGTTGTAGCCCAGGGATGTGTGGGCCTGGTTCTGTCAAACCTAATGGTGTTGTAGCCCAGGGGTGTGTGGATCTGGTTCTGTCAAACCTAATGGTGTTGTAGCCCAGGGATGTGTGGGCCTGGTTCTGTCAAACCTAATGGTGTTGTAGCCCAGGGGTGTGTGGATCTGGTTCTGTCAAACCTAATGGTGTTGTAGCCAGTGCTGTAGTCGAAAAATTAGCATAGGGTATACGCTTGAGAATATAAATTTTTGGTAAAAATAAACAAGGTTATTTTTAATTATATTTTTATTTGAAAAAAAGATGTAAAATGTTACATACAACTTTTACATAAAAATGGCCCATAATGACTGCCGAGATGCATCTGTATTTTTTCTGGCACAAACTCTTGATCTAGTGTCAGTAGATGATCTATGATGTAAAAGCCATGATTGAACGTATTTTTTCGTCTGAAACATTTCGATTGGTGGTCCATTTGAATTTATGAACATTAAGTTCGAAACATTTGGTATTAGCAAAGAAGTCCGCAAGTTTGTTATTATATCATTCATCAGGCTGAAACCTCACTCACATTCAGCTGTTGAACAGGGCAATGTTGAAATTGCCCTGAAAAATGGTTGAAGTGTTTCGGGAACATTGTTTTTATCATCAACAAAATCTCTCAAGCCGTTAATGCATTTCATTTCATCTAAGTTAAACCTTCGACAAATACGTCTCATTTCGACCTCTCCATATCGAACATTTTCTGCGTCAAAATTGTTTGGTTCTAGAGCTGAAATATCCTTAATTAATTGCTCATTAGTTTTCAGCCGCTTCAAGAGCTAGCAATGGTGTTGTAGCCCAGGGGTGTGTGGACCTGGTTCTGTCGAACCTAATGGTGTTGTAGCCCAGGGGTGTGTGGACCTGGTTCTGTCGAACCTAATGGTGTTGTAGCCAAGGGGTGTGTGGATCTGGTTCTGTCAAACCTAATGGTGTTGTAGCCCAGGGGTGTGTGGACCTGGCTCGGACAAGCCCAGACATTGCCTATGCAGTAAGTCAATTGGCTCGCTATTGTTCAAAGTACACTAGAAAACACTGGGTTGCTCTCTCTCTCTCTCTGCGAAACAAATTTTAAGATACTTAAAATCTTCATAGCATCTAGGCATCACCTATAGACGGACTGGAAAACAACTGTGTGTCTATTCGGATGCAGATTGGGGAACCAACCTGGAAGACAGAAAGAGCACATCGGGTTATGTAGTGATGTTTGCAGGCACTCCAATCCTATGGCGAAGTTCAAAGCAAACTGTCACCGCCCTCAGCACAATGGAGGCGGAATACATTTCCCTATCATCGTCATTCAGGGAAGTGACATGGATCAGGGAGTTCCTGAACCATTTGGACCATCCAGGTTCTTCAAACTGGGAGTCTGAGCAATTTTCGCCCTTAGCTCCTTAACAGAGAGATCAGCGGAGGCCAACTTTACATGGTTGGCACTGTTACGCAGAGTCTGCGCGTAGCTGGTCCGAGAAGGCTTGGTCGGCTTAGCACTGACATTGGCTGGCGGCGTGGTTTTCGTCACAGAGGGTGATTTTGGGAGTTGAATTGGCAGCGGGTTTTGCTGCGGGAGTGGAGATAGCGGCTGTAGCGACCTTAAGCTTTTTTTCGTAAGCCTCTCGGAGTTCCTCCGTTTTTAAGTCACAAGCTTTGAGTTTTCTAGATAGTATCCCAAAAACGGAGTTTTCTAGGCTTGAAAGCATACCGCGGACCTTATCGAAAATGGTACAGTAAGGAGCTGTGCCTTGTTCCCCTTTTAAAGCCATTTCTATTTCCCCAACAACCATCCGGGTGCACCCTGTGAAACACGTATTAATCTCTTCCCGCCCTTCCCTAAAAGCCTGATTCGAGTCAAGTGGCCCTATAGGAGCAGGAGATATCCGGGGAAACTCACCATCAGGAAATAACTCCGTAGTCATAGGCCGGCTCCAGTGCCAGGAGGGTTCGTCGACCGAGCGTCGCTTTTTTATGTATTGATGCATCACAGCCTCTAGCCAGAAAGGGTCCATTGTGCCAGCGGCAGGTCCAGTCAAGGCAGGGTCCGAGGAGCCTCGCGTGTAAGCTATCGGGTATCTTGTAACTCAAATCTGTGTGGCTCATGCAGAACATGAAACACGAATGAAAATTCTGCGACCCCTCAGCTATATACACTTGGTTCTTTTTTATGCAGTAGATGCGTTCCAGGGGAATCCGCATAAAAAAAAATCGCACAAAAAAAGACATACATTTATATGTAAAATGATGGATACGTTCCATTTATTAAAAAAATCGCATAAAACCTAAATAATGTTTTAAAATGCACCAGAAATCGCATAAAAAAAAGATTTATAAATAATAAGATTTAATTTTTTTCTCATCATATTTTAATAAATGGCACATATGTGTGTTAATAACAAAAACAAAACTTAATATGTAAAAAAAAAAAAAAAACATAAAGAAAACTTTATTTAATATCATATTAAGAATGTTTTCATCATTATTCGCTGTCTGATAATGTGCGAACCCGTTTGTGGACTATTAAAGTGCCTCTTGAATATGATGAAATTTTAGAACTCAAATTTGTACCAGATCTGACTGATCTTATTGCCGCTTCATTTTTTTTTATTGCTCTTATAGTAGATTCGCCTAAATTATAACGTTTACCTATTGCTGTTGATCTTTCTCCTTTCGCCAAGCAATCGAGAATTATAATTTTGGTTTCTAGCGAAATTGCACCTCTTTTTTATTTTTATTATTGTCACACATTTTCTTTAAGAGGACTAAAAATTATAGAAAAAACTTAATGTACAATTACGCACTAAAATTATTCAAAAAAACTTACAATTCACTTGAGTAAATTTATCTTCCGGTTTTCGGTAGTAACCTTCTTTCACAAAGTTTTATTTTCTAATGCTTTCCAATATGCAGGCTTTTTTAATTAGTTTCATACAAAAACAAAATGCAGCATAAAAACACACAATTTTAACGAGGTATTTTTGTTTTTGTCTCTTTTGTTTTTAAGAACAAATCAAGAGAAAACATGTCAATAAAAGAAAAAAGAAATTTGTAACGGCAGCTGGCACGCCGGCGGGTTTTCAGTTTTGATTTCGGTTTTGCACGAGTTGTGTAAGACACCGGCAGGCGCAGAATAAAAGACATTGGAACTTCCCCTCTACTGTTTGTTGGATAACTTAACATACAACCAGGATGTTACAAAATTCTTTCTTTGTATTGATTGCGTAATAGTAGAGTTGTAGTTGTTATTCTTATTCGTTTTCAGAAAAAGTGAATAACCAAAAAAAAATTTTCGAAATTCGAATACATTTTTTTTTTCTTGCACCGCATAACTCCAAAACCGCATAAAAAAAACGCATAAAAAGAGAACAAAGTGTATATTTTGTGTGTGTGTGTGGCAAACAGACTGTCATCTAATGCTCTTAACTAAAATAAGCTTCATTTGTTTACCTTTCCTTAGAAAGAGAAGCTTTGTTTTTCATATCTGAGGATATAGCCATGTTGAATAACCTCCATTGAATAAGTCCATGTGTGCGAGGAATGAGGTTTCGGCAGCTTTGATGTCCGGGCAGGAGAGTGAGTCTGCCCGGTGTTGGTTGCTGCAGCGGAAGCTTTTGAGGGGAATGGCGGTGCAGTTGGTGGCCCACAGTGGAAGTACTTGGGTGGTCTGTTGCTGATGATGTTGCGGTGACGTAGGTCCCTGCAATTGCGGCAGGGGTGTGTGGATTGGGTCCGCTCAAAACAGAAATTACACACCTTCCGCTGTAAGCTTGAAGGCAAGCTTTTTCAGAGAAAACCTTGAAGACAATCACAACACAGCCATCTAGGTAACAGGCCCGTTGGAGGAAAAGGAATTCTGGTAGACACAAGTAGATTGTGGGAGCATCGACAATGGGAAGTGAAAGCTTTGGAGAGTTGGATAGGGGTCGTGGCTGAGGGAAAAAGGCTTCGCCAAAGAACACTGGAGTCGGCCAACTCAGAGAGGGTGGTTGGAATTTAAATCTCTCTTCAGAAACTGGCTTGTTGGAATAAGCTTCTTTCTTCGTCCAAGTTTCCAACAGAATCTCTTCTGGAGGAAATAAATTTAAGCAACCGTGCTTTATTTGACCATCTGTCAAAAAATTACCTTGTGGAAATTGATTGATTTTAAAGTCTATCCTGTCAAGAAGGGCGTCAGGACAACATGATGGCGAAAGACAAATAGTACACAGAGGGATTGACATGGCATTAACTTCACATTGAACAAACAGCATTCACACACGACAAATGTTCATCACCTGTTTTCCCCACATTATAGTTGAAAATTTGCCATTTGGCCCTACCTGAAGCGCGTCCACAGTGGTCCTTGCTTGTATACCAACCTGAAGGTCATCAGTATCTCTTCAGTTATTTGGAAGTTCTTCTCATTTATATGCACAAATTGTGCAACATTTGTTCCAACATTGTGAGCTATTTCTTGTATACAAATAAAATGTGCCCTGTCATTTGTGATCATCTATAAATTTTGTTCACAGAATATGCTCCCCCCAATGTTGGGTTAGAATCTTGTCAGGGGAAAATTTGTAGATTTCACCAGAATTTTATTACTACTTCTAGTGTTTTTTTTTTTAATTGAAATTTCTTAGTCCTCAAAGTATTAATGCCTTGTATATTTTGAGTATTTTATAAAAGCCTTAGAGATTGAATTGTCCTTATTTCATTTCCTTTTGGCCCCATATAAGAGCTATCCAGAATATTAAATGTTAATGTGATAAATTGTTGTGGTTTACAATACATACATTATCCCATAATATCATTAAGAGGAGTCTACTCATTGTAGAATTTGTTGTGGGTCCTGTTCTAGTCTGGTGGCTTCCATGCATGTCTACCCACCCATATAGTGGATGTACTTTGACACAATTGTAATCATGGGCCAGGTTTGTGGTGGTTGGAATGTCGCCAGGACTTCGCAGTGTGACCTCTATATTGTCGCTAGATTAGATTTCTTTCTCGGGGACCATGCTGACCCAACTAATTCAAGTCTGGAAACCATAGCCTTTAATTGGTGCAATTATGTGGTTATTTAATTGAATTTTCCCTTTTAACACTTTGCTATATAGATTCTAAAAGGATTTTGAAACATAACAAACAAAAAGACACTATACACAACATAAACAAAAAGTTTTTATTTATAATGTTTGTATTATCAGTAAGGTTGACCCAAATAGGTACTGTAAATAATGTCATTATGATACCAGACACTTGTTAGATATGACAATGGAATTGTTAACATATATTTATGATCTGTATATAGTGGCCTCTCTAGTTGATTAGCTAGCTATGCAAATTTACTTACTTATTTCTTTGTAATTATGTAAATAATTTCACCCTTCATATATGTAAAATATTTTTGTTTAATAAATTCCAATAATGAGAATGGTGTCTTTATTTACATCCTGGCAATGCAACATCTACACAGTCATCTTCCATTGAATGGGGAATATTTAGAGCTCTTTCCACCTTTATCCCACACCTTGATGGTTGCCAGCATTGATACAACAGTCTGTTGTTCTTTCTACAAGGGTGGATCAATGATAAACAATAAAAGTTTAATAGAAAAGGAAACAAATGTATATACACTTTTAAATTGAACTCTGTTGTTATATTAGAAAAAATATCTCAAGAAACCATCTGGCAATTTTTTTCCAATAAAAATGGTAACCAAAACAAACAGTTGCACCAAGTATGAAATGTGATCAGTAATATGTTTTTTTTTTTATCATGAAGGAGTTAAACCATTTTAAATTAACTCCAGAATGAAATATGTTTACAGTTATAAATGTTTTATCTCAAAATCAAATTTTTGAATGGGTTAGAAAATTCAGAAGCGACATAGAAAGTTTGGATGGTGCCCCAGTCAAGGTTGGTGATGATGTAACCACCATTGACGAGATGATACAGAACGAAAAATTTCTCATTCAGTACTTTTGTCTGAAAGATGGTAACAACGCTGTTACCGAAATGTCACACACTATTTATTTGAATTTGGTCCATCACCTTGTGTTTAGAGTGTCTAAAATAAAATGATTTCCTACTACAGTAAAACCTCCCTGTAAAGGACACCTAATTGCAGAGCCAAAGTGTCCTTTAGGGAGAGGTGTCCTCATACCGGAGAATTGCTAAATTGTAAAAATGGTAATTTTGCAAATGAAAACAGTCCTTTGTGGAGAGGTGTTCTCTAAAGGGAGGTTCTACTGTAGTCTCATATTTGAATGGATATAGAAGAATGCAATCAAGATGTTTAATATGATGTGTAGAGAGTGAAAAACTACAGGCTTTCCTATAGAGAGTTGTTTAAGGTTCGGCAAAGACTCCATTAGCCACTTTGAGAAGTTAGGTTGCTCAGAGTTAGAGAAGAGTAGACATGTTCAAAGTAGTGTAATTGATAGAGAGGAATCAACCAATTCCTCAGAGGAATGAAATTCCCTCACTTAGATTCATTCAGATTGATCATCAACATAGTCATATTTTGCCGTGTCACAATGCCCAGCACAGTACACATTTGTACAATTGCCACTATTTCTTAGAGGTTGTGTAAATTAGGCTAGATAGTTAATTTTTTTTCATTATCATTAACCCATGTTTATTTTAATCTAATTATATTATGGATTTATATTTAAAGGGAATACCTAATAGAATATTTGTGCATGGTAATGCCATGAACTTGTGAAAGTGGCTAATTTTTTATATATACCATTAAAAAAAAGTATTTTGTGACATATTTATTGTTTGGTTCTTTAATGGGTGGATGCTTAAAGGATCCATGTCTTCCACATTGGGAGCACCAAAAACTTTTCTTGAATTATTCTCCCTTAGTTTTTGATGCTTGTGGCAGGAGAGGATGCTGAAGACAAACCTAACAAAATTAGTTGTAAATAGCTTGTGGCCTAAATAAATGGAATGAAAGGATGTCTGCTGTAGGGGAGCAATGTTAATAATAAGAAGAGCTCACCTGTATGTAAGAAATTTGTGGCAGTCCCTGAGGACCAATTCTGACAGCCAACTGTAGCATGCAGCCTGGGCTACAAACCAAGGAAACGCCATGTTACAGGAGCTCACCTGTATGGTATTTATATTATTTATCAAAATAACAAGAGTTTAAACAACTGAGAGGGAGGGTCTTGCCCTTTCTCAAAAGAGTTTGATCTCAAATTTTACACTTGTACAATTATTCACAAATTATCATTTTAGAAACAAGTCAGTAATTGATAAGGCACAATTTGGATTATTGATTATAAACACAAGGTAATAAGACCAAATAAATAGTGTGCGACGTTTTGGTAACAACGCTGTTACTAAAACGTCACACACTATTTATTTATTTTGATTTGGTCTTATTACCTTGTGTTTAAGTCAGTGTTTTTTTGTTGAGTGAGTATCATTGTCCAATTAATTTTTAATAGTAGTGAGAACTGTGAAGAAATCATTACTTGTGTCCGTTTTGTGGCGCATAGGGTAGTAAGAGATATCCTTGCCTCGCTCGGCGTGGGAAACTTTGTTTAGTTAGTTCACGCGTCTGGCTTGAAAAAGTCACCGGCAACCTATTCCTCATTTTTCAGATAGAATATTTCATATTAATAAAATCAAGTAAACAAGAGTTTAATCAAAATTCAAGATTTATTATTTTAAACATTTGTAGTCATTGACAAATGTTCATTTGTGGTAAGATACTATTCCAACAACTTCAAATTACCGAGGGGACCTTTTAATATTGAATTTATTCAACTTATCAAGTATTTTTCAAGGGACTGGGAAAACATTTCAAATTATCGAGAGTAGACTATATATACAGTATAACCTCGTTAATTCGGCTATAATTTGACCATCTTCTAATGTCTCGACCACCGGCCTATCAAATAACAAACCGTAATTCGACACTATCAATAATACGACACTTCCGATAGTTCGGCCATTTTAAAATTCAAATTTCGACAGTTGAATGTGTAAAAATACAACTATACCGCTAAAAAGGTATTACAGCGGCGGCGGCGATAGGATCGCGCCTGTGCACTATTGGTTTCTGTTGTAGGTGATCATTTTAGAAATTCCTAAGAGAAAATATGTAAATTGTTCTAGCTGTTTGATTTAGAAGTTGTGAATGCAAATTTCTTTTTGTAAAAAGTTTTTTTTTTATGTTTGGTATATCTAAAAATTGTATGCGGAGAATAGATGTTTTTCTTTGAGTTGCTTGTTAAGTGTAAATGAGTGTGGAAGCTATGTGTAATAAATAATTTTTTAGGATAACAAGAAGTCTTATTGATTTTATTGAAGATGTTCTTTAAAAAAGATATAAATCTCTGCACAACAACAGGGTTATGGGCCAGTAGCAAACTTCTACCTGATCTGTGGTAAATTCTGGGCTGTAGTAGGAAAAAAAGGGGGGAAATGAATTATTCTATTTTAAATTTTCCAAAGCTAAATGCTTTTAATTATAGTACTTGGAAGACTGATATGAAAGTCATTTTGATTGATAGAAACGGTTGGGAATTTATTATTGACAATCAAAGTGAACTACCTGTAGATGCTACAACAAAAGAGGCTAGAGAATATAATTGGAGAAAAGCTAGAGCTTTCACCACTATCTACCAAGGTGTGAAAGAAGTTACCAAACTCTTATTGCTAATGCAAATGATGGTAAGGAAGCATGTAATATACTCAAGCACAATTTTGAACCAACTTCAAGGGCAAGATTGGCTGGATTGATTGATGAATTCTATGATCTCAAATTGACTCTCCTGAGGACGAAAATATAAATGATCAACTGGGAGAATGGCTGATAGACAGTGCAGCTACTTCACATTTCTGTAAAGATTGGTTTACCAACTATCAAGAAATACCCCCAATGGATGCGTTAATAGAAGATGTCGACTGCAAGTCAAAAATCTTAGGTAAGGGAGATATAAACTTTATCTTTAAGGATATAAATAATTCCTATGTAGAGGTAACTTTACTTAATGTACTATATGCCCCTAATATGAGAAGGAATCTAATTAGTGGCTCATGTATAGATATGGCAGGAAATGGAAAAAAATTGGAAAGATGGTAAAATGGTAATTTTCATAAATAATGGAGAATACAGTAAAACCCCGCTAATACAAACCCCGGTTATAGCGAACCTTCCCTTATAATGAACCCACGGCGATTCCCATTTCCATTCCATTGAAAATACCATCGTTATAACGAACTTTGCGATTTTTAAAATAACAAACTACCCCTATAAAGAACCCATTTTCGGTCCCAAAATGATAAAATCGATTAAAAATACTATGCTTATAACGAACTTGAAATTGTGATTTTAAAACAACAAAATCTTGAGCATGTTTCAGCTCACGGATCGCGATTTCAAAACAAAAAAATTAGCGGCATTGTTTGTTTTCATTTCCATTCTATTTTTGCTGTATGTTGTATCAATTTTTACACATTATATTTTTATTTAATAGAATATCTTTGCATTCGACAATTTTGAAATAGAAGAAAAATACAAATGGCTTCCAAAATAAAGAAAAGAAAAAAAGAGTGGCGTTCAAAAAAAAAACAGTGGCAGCCTGCCCTTTTAGAAGCGTTCTATATCAAGTTTAACCTAGGCTAAAACATATTTCCAAATAATTTTAAAGCCAGAAATGTTTCAAATAACAGGTTAAAACGAAATTTAATATACACTTCAGAAGAATATGTGGAAACTGGAATTGGAAGAAATAGAAGAAAAAAAAAAGTTCCCCGTGTCTCATGAGCCACAAACAAATCGACTTATAAATTCTCCAAAACTACCACTACAGTTCTATTTTTAGAATGGAATTCTTGTTAGGTATATGACTCATTCAGGGTTCGCGGATATTCCCCCTGGCCGGTCTTTTTATGACCGATTTTGTGTTTGCAAATTGGCGTTTTTTTTTTTTCACAATTTTACCGATCGCGATATCGTATCAACTTGTTTCGCGTCCGATTTTTCTGAATTGGATACTTTTGATTCATCCTCAATTGATTTAGAATACACGGAGCTCTTTTCCTTTGATGGAAATAACGATATTTTAAGAAAATTCTGATTTTCACTTTCAAACAACAAGGTATTAGAGACATTTTTCAAATAAATATAGTATTATATTATTTGAGAAAGATGTTCTAAAATACTCATTCTTTTCAAATTTATAATTAATAATGTTTTGACTAAGGGATTTGGCTTAATTTTTAAATAATACATAGGTTTATATATAAACATGTATGCTAATGACAAGAAGAACTGAATATCAAATGACTTCTTTTGATATTCAGCATTACTGTAAAGAAATAGGTCAATTTAGGGAATTAAAACAAAGTGGCCATTATTAAGTGGCTGTCTTTTCCTGTTTGTATGGCTGTTTTTTAATTATACGGTCTAAAAATTAGAAATTTTTTTAAAAATGGCCAAACCGTGGCTATAGTGAACCAAAAGCTCTGTCCCATTGGGGTTCATTATAGAGGGGATTTACTGTATTTCTTTACAGCTAAATAGGTAGATAAATTATATATAGTTAATGGATACCCTAATAAAGCTAGCTCTCAATATTATTCAGTGTCTCATAATTCAAATCTGGATTTTCTCCATAAGAGATTTTGTCATATTAATTCAGAA